TTTTTCGTGGTTTCGAAGCGCGAAAAAGTTGCTTTTTGTCCTAGCGACCACACCCTGTTTCATGATTTTTGGTCCAAGCAAATTTATCTAGAGATTCTGGTTAATATTAGTTCGTTTAAAAAAGCTAGTTTGCTCATAAAATTGAAGCTGGTTCCTTTTCAAATCAAATTTAGTTTATTACAAAAGGAAAATATCGGTACTTAAAGCTCGCAGCTCACTACTTACGATAGTACTTAGTCCAACTGATCTTCTCTCACTTCAGGGTATTGTGGAAACGTCACCTTCCTTGACCAAGATTGCTGACATTATCAAAGATCTCAAAAACAACGACCCAGATATACTTTATGGTAGGTTCTTGGCTGCCTCTGCATTTTTGAAAATTCTTATTTTATGGATTTCAGTTTGTGATCCTGTGATGGGAGACAATGGAAAATATGTAGGTTCATTCAGTTTACAATGTAACTCGCAATATTTGCCGATTTAAGAATTATTGTTCTTTTTCTGTGTATCGTTTAATTTTGGTTCCAGTCACTCATTTGCAGTTACACTTCGTTTTCAGTACGTCCCTAAAGACCTTCTACCAGTCTACCGAGACGTAATCGTTCCATTAGCTAATGTATTAACGCCGAACGCTTTTGAGCTAGGGTACGCTGAGTAATCTCTGAAGAAGAATCAGATTCCAATAGATGTGGTTTTTCAGAGAGCTGGTTGGATTTGAAATAATTACTGAGGAGGACTGTATTCGCGGTATGGATACCATTCACGATCTCGGAGTGAGTAACGTCGTGGTGACAAGTGGAGTTTCAGAAACTGAAGGAGTCGATACGCTTACCTGCTATGCAAGCACAAAAGGTTACCTTTCTTGCCCAGGATCTCATTTGTTCGCAGATTATTAGTTCATGGAACAATATTCCTTTGTTTTTATACGGAACTGTTCGATCTCATAATGTCGACATTTTTTCTTGTTGTTGTTGGAAATGGCATGATGTTCAGATGTCACTGGAAACATACGTCGCTTCCGATTCCGTTTCCCACGCTTACGAGGACAATTTGTCGGAACTGGTGACGTGTTCACGTCATTGCTAATTGTGTGGTTATCAAACTGCGAGAATGATGTTTGCGAAGCTGTCAGCCATGTATTAGGGTCGATGCAAGGCTTAATACGGAGAACCAGTAATTATGCACAAGGTTAGCTTATTCCTTTGCTTAAATTCATATCTTTCATCGGAATGAAGCCACTGGAATACAAGTGAATGGAACGAAATAATAACTAACTGGGCGCGGTAATACTGTTTTTCCACAAAGAGCACGGAACGTTACGCTAAGGAACCTGGAACACTAGTATCTTGATGCAGTCACGACTTTCTCCCCGTACACCCAGTTACCCTTGACGTGGGACCCCTAGAACGACATGTCAACGTCCAACATAAAGAGTGTTTCTCCCTTGATGGATTTTCCTATTAGGGACTCGCTTCGTCAGACTTGTAAGCAATCAAATGCGATGTCCTTGGTGACACTTATTACAGGTCTGAGGATGCTATCCAAAACAGCCATCAATGGAGGTATTAGGAAAGTTGTTAAGCAAAAACTTTCAATGGAAACAACGTGAAATTCAAGATACGCAGTGATAGCTCAATCCTATCACAAATTGTGGTGTAGGTTCCCCAAAATTCG